TTGGACACTTAATCATTCTAATTTCACATGTACCTACAAATAATATTGGGCCAGGTTACACCATTTTTTTAAAGCAGCACTCTTTACTCAAATCCATGGGGAAATCTGTTTTAGAAGATTATGACCAGATATGGGCCATCATTATAAAGAATGATATTCACTGGCTGACATTGACAAATGAAGAACAATTCATGTAACAGTTTATTCACAAATAGAAAAAGCATTACAAAACAATTTACACAAGATTATAATTTATAGATCTTTTTAAAGGTCCACTATATAAACAGGACTGGAAAAAAACCCTGTTATGCACACTGTCTAAATGTGTTGGTATTTGTTTTCTATTGGCATATACAATGTTGCTTGTATACACAGTATAAACAAGACCAATCTGGTTAAATTAAGAAAAGCTATTCAAAAATATATACATAATATACATATATATTTAAAGAAACGTATTCTGCAGTGCTTTGGTGTGTGGTGTTGGGTTTTGTTTTTTACAATTTGCTCTTAATGTATATGAACAGACAGCTGCTGAACAAAAATGATCACAGTGTAAATTCCATTGGGAAACATACTTATTGGTGAAAGATTCAGGCAAAGTTTTATTACCATTTTGAAATGAATTTCTGATTACTAAAATTCAAACAATATTTTGCAATGCAATGAAATGAGCATTGGATTTTTCTCTTTACACAGTATATGCAAAAAAAAAAAAAGCGTATTCATGCAGTAAATAGCAGAAAGTAAAATTTTATGTTTTCCCTAATGTATGAAAGTAACAAAAGGAATCCAGAAATGCAGTTATTTGGACTTATTGAATCTTTAGAAAATATGTAAATTTTCAGGATTTGGTGGTGACCAGGTACTTCAACTATCCAGATGTATGTTAGGAAACTAACACAGCAGGGCACAGATTATCCAACAAGTTCTTGGAATGCATTGGAGACAATTTTTTATTTCTGAAGGTTGAGAAAGCTACTGGGGGGAAGCAGTTCTAGATTTGATTTTAACAAATAGGGAGGAACTGGTTGAAAATTTGAAAGTGATCATAAAATCAGAGAGTTCATGATTCTAAGGAATAGCAGAAGGGAGAACAGCAAAATGAAGACAAAGGTCCCTTGGGAAGCAAGACTTAAGAGGAAAAGCAACTGAAGAGAGTAGGCAGTTTTTCAAAGGGACATTATTAAAGGCTCAAAAACAAACTATTCCATTGTGTAAGAAAGACAAAAAGTATAGCAAGAGACTACCTTGGCTTAACCAGGAGATCTTATATGATCTAAAAAACAAAAAGAAGTCATATGAAAAGTGGAAACTAGGTCAAATGACAAAGGAGATATATATATATATATATATATATATATATGCAAATAATACAAGTACGTAGAAGCAAGATAAGAAAGGCAAAGGCACAAAACGAAATCAATCTAACTAGAGACATAAAGGGTAACAGGAAAACATTTTACCAATATAGTAGAAGCAAGGGGAAAACCAAGGACAGGGTACGTCCATTGCTCAGTGAAGAGGGAGGAACAGTAACGTTGAATATATATATATATATATATATATAAGCAAATAATACAAGTACGTAGAAGCAAGATAAGAAAGGCAAAGGCACAAAACGAAATCAATCTAACTAGAGACATAAAGGGTAACAGGAAAACATTTTACCAATATAGTAGAAGCAAGGGGAAAACCAAGGACAGGGTACGTCCATTGCTCAGTGAAGAGGGAGGAACAGTAACGTTGAAATTTGGAAATGGCAGAGGTGCAGAATGACTTATTTGTTCCAGTTTTCTCCAAGAAGATGGATAATGATGGGATGCCTAATATAGTGAATGCTAGTGGAAATTTTAACTTTAATTTAGAAGTTAAAATGAAAAAAGCACAAGTTAAAAATTACTTGGAGAAGTTGGATATCTTCAAGTCACCAGAGCCTGATGAAAGGCACCTTAGGATATTGAAGGAGCTGACAGAGGAGGTATCTGAGCCTTTAGCTATCATCTTTGAAAAGTCCTGGAAATTGGGAGAGATTCCGGAAGACTGGAAAAGGGCAAATATAGTGCCCATCTATAAAAAGGGAAATAAGAACAACCTAGGAAACTACAGACCAGTCATCTTAACTTCTGTGCCAGGGAAGATATTGGAGGAAATAATTAAAGAATTCATCTGAAAACATCTGGAAAATGATAACGTGATAGGCTTTGCAAAGAAGAAATCATGTCAAACCAATCTGATGGATAGCTTTCTTTGGTAGGATAACAAAGACGTGGTATACTTAGACTTTCGTACAGCATTTGATACAGTCTAGCATGACTTTCTTATCAATAAACTAGGGAAATGCAACCTAGATGGGGCTACTATAAGATGGGTGCCTAGACAAGATAACTGTCTAGACAACTGTTTTCAGTGAGTAGTTGTTAATGGTTCAGTCATGCTGGAAGGGCATAACAAGTGGGTTTCCACAGGGGGTCTGTTTTGGGACTGGTTCTGTTCTATATCTTCATCAATGATTTAGATATTGGCATATAGAGTATGCTTATTAAGTTTGCAGATGATACCAAGCTGGGAGGAGTTGCAAGTGGTTTGGAGGATGGGATCATAATTCAAAATGATCTGGACAAACTGGAGAAATGGTCTGAGGTAAACAGGATGAAGTTTAAGTACAAATGCAAAGTTCTCCACTTAGGAAGGAATAATTAGTTTCACACGTACAGAATGGGAAGTGACTGTCTTGGAAGGAGTACTGCAGAAAGGAATCTAGGGGTCATAGTGGACCACAAGTTAAATATAAGTCAACAGTGTGAAACTGCTGCAAAAAAGCAAACATAATTCTGGGATGCATTATCAGGAGTGGTGTGTGAAAGGGCAAATATAGTGCCCATCTATAAAAAGGGAAATAAGAACAACCTAGGAAACTACAGACCAGTCATCTTAACTTCTGTGCCAGGGAAGATATTGGAGGAAATAATTAAAGAATTCATCTGAAAACATCTGGAAAATGATAACGTGATAGGCTTTGCAAAGAAGAAATCATGTCAAACCAATCTGATGGATAGCTTTCTTTGGTAGGATAACAAAGACGTGGTATACTTAGACTTTCGTACAGCATTTGATACAGTCTAGCATGACTTTCTTATCAATAAACTAGGGAAATGCAACCTAGATGGGGCTACTATAAGATGGGTGCCTAGACAAGATAACTGTCTAGACAACTGTTTTCAGTGAGTAGTTGGCGGTAGTCTAGACGTACCCTAAGACACAATAAGTCATTCTTTCCCTCTATTCTGCAATGATTAGGCCTCAGTTGGAATAATTTCAAGAAAGATGTACAGAAATTGGAGAAGGTCCAGAGAAGAACAGTAAAAATGATTAAAGATCTAGAAAACATATCCTATAATGGAAGACTAAAAGAATTGGGCTTGTTTAGTTTAGAAAAGAGAAGACTGAGAGGGGACATGATAGCAGTTTTCAAATATCTAAAAAGGTATTACAAGGATGAGGGAGAAAAATTGTCCTTTGCTTCTGATAAGACAAGAAGCAGTGGCTTAAAGGGAGGTTTAGGTTGGACATTAGCAAAAACTTCCTGACTGTCACAGTGGTTAAACAGTGTAATAAATTGCTTAGGGCAGTTGTGAAATATCCATCAGTGGAGGTATTTAAGAGCACGTGGGATAAATATATATAGGCAGTCCCCAGGTTACATGGATCCGACTTACATCGGATCCCTACTTACAAACGGGGTGAGGCAACCCCGCACTAGCTGCTTCCCCCCAGCAGACCAGGGAGACGCAAAGCTAGCGCCCCCCCCCCTCCCAGCAGACCAGGGAGACGCGGAGCAGCTTTTCTCAGCAGACACCTCAACTTGAGAATAAAGGACTGAGGGAAGTGAAGTGTGGGAGAATAAAACTGAGCTGTGGAGAAATGTTTGGCTAGAGTTTCCCCTACAATATGTACCAGTTTCGACTTATATACAAATTCAACTTAAGAACAAACCTACAGTCCCTATCTTGTACATAACCAGGTGACTGCCTGTATCAGTGATCTATAGATGATGCTTGGTCTAGCCATGCGTGCAGGGACTGGACTTGATAACCTCATGAGGCCCCTTCCAGTTCTAGTATTCTTTAATTCTATTTATACTGCAAGCACAACTGTGTATGGATCATAGCAAGTCAGTTATCATGTAGTAACATTTTCTGTATAAATACTCATAGAAATTATTTAATCAGTAACCATAGGCCATCCTCTGGACCACCTACACATGATGAATAGCTCTTATTCAGCCAGGCTATGTCTACACTACAGGGTTTTTTTTTTTTTTTTGGAAAAATGGCCATTTTTCAGAAAAATCTTCACTTATGTCCACACTGCAATCACATTCTTTCGAAAAAAGATTGAAAGAACAGAAGGTTTTTCCGACACTGGTAAACCTCTTTCTATGAGGAAGACACCTTTTTTCAAATGAGCTCTTTCGGAAAAAGGCATGTGTGGGCGGGGAAGAGGGAGTTCTTTTGAAAGAAGAGGAAAGAGGAAAAAGCACAGGTACCCTGATGGTCACTCTATCCATAGAAATCACAGCCTAAATGCGAGATAGTGTTCATTCAATGTGGATGCTATCGTTTGAAAAAGATCACTTTTTCGATGTGCTTTGGCAGTGTGGCTGCTCTCTTTCAGAAGAAGTTTTTCCAGAAGATCTCTTTAAGAAAAGCTTCTTTCGAAAGAAACCTGCAGTCTAGACATAGTCACAGGAAGCCCCATTGTCTGGTCTAAACTTCTATCGGTGTGTGCCATCAGCAAGTGAGATTTTTCTTTAAGGACATGGAATGTGTGCATGGCAATATAAATACTGATGAATATACTTGCAGCAAGAAGGAACATTCATTGCAAATCTACAGGATTTTGTTGATTACTTTTATTATGCCAAGACCTCCCTGGTTTATAGTACTCTTACAAGA